AATAGAAAAATTCAAAATATATTATGAAAAAGTTGTAGACAGAAACATAAATCTAAATAATTATCGAGATGAAAATAATTTATTAATAGATATAAATTATATGAAATACATACTTAATAATTGGATTAAAATATCAAAAGAATTTAATTTGTATAAAGCAAATTTTACTAAGAATACATATTAATTATAGTTTTAAAATTTATTTTTTTTTTATTTTAAAATATTATATATTTCTTTTCAAATAGATTTTTTTAAAATTTATAAATATATAAAGAACTGAATTTATTTATAAAATATAAAATGTCAATACCAAAATTAAAATCGATTAAAGAAATTTTATTTCAAGAAGATAAATGTATAAAATTTTTATTTGAGAAAGATATTATTAAAAAATCTGATAAATGTCAATTTTGCAATAATAAAACTTATAGAGTAAAAAAATTGTTATACAGATGTAGCAATTTAGAATGTAAAAAATCTATTTCAATATATAATGATTCATTTTTTGCAAATCAACGTTTAAATTGTAATGATATATTATTAATAGCATATTTTTGGCTTTGTAGAGTAAATTATACTTCAATAGCTAATATGACTTCATATTCATCAACTACAATTGTAAAATATATAAAAATATTTAGAAATTTAGTTATTAATACATTAACAGAACAAGATCAAATAGGAGGTAAAAATATAATTGTAGAATTAGATGAAACAAAAATGAAGAAATATGAATCTTGGTGGCTTTTTGGAGGGATAGAAAGATCAAAAGAAAGAAAATGTTTTTTTGTGATTGTAGAAAATAGAGATAAAGAAACTTTAAAAAAAATGATCAAAAAATATGTTAAACCAGGAAGTATAGTTCATACAGATCATTTTAAATCATATATAAATTCTCTTAAAGAATTAAATTTAAGACATCATCGTGTTTGTTATTTAAGAAATAGAGTTGAAAGAGGTACAGGTGTACATAGTAATACAATTGAATCTACTTGGGGTATTATTAAAAAATTTATTTCAGTTCGTAACTGAGATAAAAAATTAATAGAAGAACATCTAAAAGAATTTATTTGGCGTAGAAAACATAAAGACAATCTTTGGAATTTATTTTTAGAAGTATTAAAGAAATAATTTTTATTAAATTATTGATATAAATCTTTAGAATAATTAATTTCAAATTTCCAATCTTTAACTATACCACCTAATCTTTTAATATATAAAAATTGATAATTAATAATATTATATAAATTTTGAATAATAACTTTAGTAAAATCTTTTTCGATAAAATCAGAAAATTCAAATATTCTTTTTTTTCTATTATAAATTTTTCTGATAAGTTCTCTAACTGAATTGATAATTTCATCTTCATTATTACATAGTTTACAAAAATTATTATAATTAATACATTGTTGATATAATATTTCAAGTTTATCTCTTACAAACTGACAAAATTCACAATATATCTTTGTTTTATAAAAGTTTAAACGATTAAGACAATAATAACTTAAAATTCCAAGTTTAAAGTTAATAATTTTTAAATTTGAATTTTTAATTTTAATATTTCTTTTACATATGCAGAGTTTTTCAATATTTTTAACAAATATTGACTTCTAAGTTTTGTATTTTTTTGCATTTGGTTTTGGTTCTTCAAAATCAAGTTGTTTACCAAGATTTTTCTAAAAAATATGATTATCAAGTATATTTTTCTATTTTTTACAAACTAAAGATGCTTTTTGAAAAGTAAAAGGATCATTAATATAATTAAAGACAAGTTGAATAGAATGAATTTCAATTTTAGATTTTTTGTTAGTTGAATTAGAAATTTGTTTTTTTGTTCGTTTCATTTTTTTTTTGATTATAAAAAAAGAAAATACAAGATTTTTATATTTTTAAAGTTTCTTTGAGTTAGATTTTATAAAATTTTTTTTTATCATAAAAAAAAATTACGTAAGTAAATAGTTTAGAGTAAAAGTAATTAATTTTATAATAAGTAACATAGCGAAGGCTGCTGTTATTATAGGCTAGTGTTACAGATAATAACTACCTAATATAAAAATAATCAGTAAAATCTAACAAAAGAGAGTTGAAAACCGTCAAGTTAGCTTTTTTTTTCACTCTATGAAAGGTTATTATCAGTCAGGTAGTAGCTAATTGTGGGGTATAAGAGAGTCAGATATAGTTCTCTAGTCTTCTTTGGACTAATGCAACAGGTCGTACCTAAGTACTCTAGTAGCAGCTGGGTGATGTCAAGCTTAGGAAATTAGGTCGATTGAAAAATCATATGTAACTTGGTTATGGCTATGGTTAACAACTTAATAAAGTTTATGATATGATTGTCAAAGGAAAAAAAAAATAGTATGAGTTAGTTAAACAGAGTGTTTAAATAAGTAACTCACAAGCAGATTATAGGTATAGTAGCATAGTATAAAACTAATCAGATGATCTATTATCTGTGTAGTAGACTACTTAAATTAGACAATAACTAAAGTTATATATATAGTTTGTTGTATATTCTTCATATAATTACAAACTATAGAGGATTACTTTTGTATAACCTTAGATATTAAACTAATAAAATCTGTTCTGCTATATAAACTATCTTAATAATAAAAAAAAAAAAAACTTATGCTAAACTATATTTACTTATTTATTATTCTTTTAATTTAAAATATTATACTATTAATATATAAATTATTGAAAATTATTAGATTTATCCTACAGGTATAATATTCTATTTTTAAGAAAATAAAAATTTAAAATTAAGTTTAAAGTTAGAATAAGAACTATATTAGAATTAGAGTTAAAGATTATATATAAAATTAGATATTAAAAACTTTTACTTAATAATACTAAGCAAGTTTTCATAATAAAATTTTAAGATATAGTATAACCTTGATATAAGATTAAGCTATTAGTATAAAATTTTAAAAACTTTGTTATATCTAAATTTATTAATAGTTTTGTTATATTAAAGTAAATTTAAATATAAGAGTTAAAGATTAATTTCATTATATAAATATATTTATTATATTGAGATTCATTATATCAAGATTATACTATATTAATAATTTTTATTTTTTTTAATTTTTCTTAAAAATTTCTTTATATTTATTATATAGAGTTTACAACCTAATTAGTTAATTATATAAACTAAGTATATACATATAGAATATAAATAAAGATTCTCTAAATTATTATATATATATATTAGATAATAACCTTAATAATTAGTCTAATCAAATATATTAAAAATGAATAAAAATTAGTAATTGTTTTTTAAACAAAAAATTATTATATATATATCAAATAATAACTTTAATTTATAACTAGTTAAATCAAGTTTTTGATATAATAAGAATATTATTTTTTAGATAATAATTATTGTTTTTATCTTTTAATTTGTAATACAAATAAATTTGTTTATATCTACTTTTAATTTTGTAATTTTTAAATAAAACTTTAAATATTAACTTTAAAATATATTTTTAAGTAAATTATATTTTTTAAATTTTTTTTTTTTTTTTTTGTTGTTAAAAATAGCTTATATTGTTAAAAAGATTTTATTAGTATTATATATAGAATTATATATTAATAATTCTTATTATTAGATCTAGTAATCTTAGTGTAGTAGTTAGATTGTTGGACTGCTATATAAGAGGTCTAGAGTTCAAATTCTACTGTTAACAAATTTGAATAATTACTCAGGTTTTTGTATTCAACTTACAGTAAACCCTGTTTATTTCTAGAAATTGTAACTCTGTAAATCATATTTTTTTTTTTTTTTTTTTTTTTTTTACAAGTAACCTTTTTGGCCATATACTTTATTAAGTTTATTATAATTTGTTACAAGTAACAATTACAACATATTCAAATCTATATATAAACCTTAGGACTAATTTATCTACAAAGTATTCTTGATCTAATTTATACTACCCCATTATAATTTCTAATTAGGGTTTATGCTACGACTATTATTATTAGATCACTATTACTATATTCCTCATATCACTCATACTTACACAGAGATACTACCAGACAGGTACCATGGGTTACATGGGGCATCATCAATTCTCACGGATAACTTCCTGTTTGGTGTCTAGCTGGTTTCACTGCCTAACTCCATATCTCCTAGTTAGTACATTCATGACTAAAGCCTAGGCCTGCAACTTGTTACATCTTCTGCAAATCATGGAGATGCCAGTATTTTACGATATATAACTGTATTTATATGCTATGCGACTATCAATACCAGATACTCCTATGTGTTGGTAGAGTACAGGCTGTATTTTGCAACTAAGGTTGCTTCCAACTAGGTTCGTAATATATAGTACTACTTCCAACTTGTGTCTGCATTAGCTGGTGTTTAATGTTGATATGCTCTTGTACTTAGATGTGCGATTGCACTACTAGCTCAGTGCTTCCTGCCAATTCGGGTTTTTACGCATATCCTAAATAGTAGCCAACTCTCTATAGAACTGGGACCTTCCAATTCTAGCTTTCACATGTACCAGAGGTGTTCCACATCTAGTTAGGACAATCCTTTTCCACAGATTTCTATTATATTCATCGCTTTGCTCATTACTCCAGCTTGTGTTACCTTCGTGTCACTCTCCCAAGCAAGTTCCCAACTGCTGGGGATGTTGGTGCTGCCTAACCCTTCAAGAACTTATTCACGCAATACTCATATAACAGAATCTTCTGTGATACCGACTGTCATACGTAATGCCAACTTGCTCTATAATATCGATCTCCTTCCAGGAATTCTTTTTCTAGAATCTTGTACTTCACATGGGTTTTACCACAGGGCTTCGTATTCGATTAATAGTTTTCATAAGAATTACAAAAGCAAATGCCTCCAACTGGACTCGAACCATTGACCTTGTCTGTGGAGGGTTGAGGATTTAACCAACTAAGTCATGGGACCCAACCCCTCTGTAAATCATATTATATTAACATTAATTAGATATAAGAAGTATAACACAATGTTTGAGTTATATTGTATAAATAAATATTAATAGGATCTACAGGCAAAGGATTTGCATAGTAGAAATCCTGAATTAGATGAAGTAGTATAGATTTTAACAGTCACACTAGTTAACACTTGATTTTGAAAAGAAGCCTATATATGAAGGTTGCAAATTGAGCAAGTATGAGTAAGTCTACTATATAATGCAACCTAGTGTTTTACATTAATAGCAACACCAACTTGGCTTAGTAGCTAACTAGATTTGAAAAGATCTGTTATATGAAACTTCTGAATATATAGAAGACTAATCTGATAGAAAGCCATAGTAGAAACAAAGTTTATATAAATATCTATAAAGATATATACTAGCTTAATTAAGATATAGCATAGCATAGTTGAGGTATTTTGCAGGCTCCTCTCAAAAAAAACAAAAAGAAGACCTTGAGATAGAACTCTTTTTAATAGAAGAATCTAAGACACAAAGTCAGTCTAAGTAGTCATTAATAAGGCAGTATAAGATTGTGCAGATTTAAGAATAAAATTAGGTTGATATTAGGGAAACAGAGATATCAGAGAGTTTAAATAAAGTAACTACAAATAGATACTAGATATAGCAATTGGTAAGTAACCTTCAGACAGAACCTTTAAATAGACAATAATTAAAGTTATACATATGACCAATATATTCTTACTAATATAAATCTACAAATAACTTAATAAAAATTAACTAGCATCAAGGCCTTGTTGTAAATATAAAAAAATAAAAAATAAAAAAAATAATTCTTATTATTTGTAATTATATAAAAAGTATATAAAAAGCTAAATATATAACTTTAGTTATTATCTATTTTAAGTAGTTTACTATATATATATTAAACTATTTAATTAGTTCTACACTATACTGCTATATTTGTAACTTATTTGTAAGTTATTTATTTAAATACTCTATTCATCAACTTATACAAATCTAATCTAATATTATTACAATATCTAACTACTTAAGCTAGCTAACTTATTATAAATTTATTTACTTAGAATAGCTTAGATCTTTTTAAGATATATTATATTTAATATATTATAGATATTATAGAGCTAGTTAATCTCAAAACAAATCTACTAAAGTAGTCTATATTTATTTTATAAATTTATCTAGATTAAACTTTTATAAATATTTATATAATTTTAGATTTTATTATAGTCTTCTACTAATTAGTTAATTTAGTTTTTTTCTAGTTTTTAGCTAGTTATTAGTTACTTTTTATCTAATAATCTCAAAACTTTTTTCTTTTCAGATTAAACTTTAATTGATGTAATCTGTAGAAAAGCTATATAATATTATCAACTCAGAATTTTTACTATGCAAATTTTTAGTTTATATATTTTATTAAGATTTATTTATATAATATTATATTATATTTCTAAGTTTAGATTAATTTAATACAACTTAATTTATAGAAATATATTTCTAGAAATATATAGAGTTTACTATAATATATTACAAGATCTAGAAAATTATTTAAATTTGTTAATAATAAAATTTAAATCTTAGACCTATTATATAATAGTCTAGTAATCTAACTACTATATTAAAATTACTAAACCTATTTTTTAATATTTATTTTAACAACTTTGTTAAAAAAGTTTTTTAAAATTATTATAAAAGTTTTGAGTAATAAATCTTTAAAGTTTGCTTTAAAAATTTTTTATTATAAAATTTTTAGTCAAATTTTTTCAAATTTTATATATAAATAAGATTAAAAATAATTTTTACTTCTAATACAAGTATAAATTTTTACAAATAAATTATAAAAATCATAATAATTTAAGTTGTAATTCTTTAAAAATTTTTATCAAATTGCTTAATAAATTATACTTCTAAAACTTAAATTAAACAAGGTTATCTTAAAATATTAATAAAATTTTTGCAAAAATTTTTCTTATAAAATTAGCTATTTTTAACTCATATATAATCCTATATTTTTTTCTTATAATATAAAAACAAATACTGCAAAAAAATAATTCTTATTTTTAAATTTTATTATCTATAATTATTTTTTTAATATTTTTGCATTTTAAAAAAGTAAATTAAAGCTGAATAAATACAAAAATGCAGGCAAATTTGTTTACATTAGCCTACAATCTAAAGGATATGTATATTTTGTACTAAATTTTTAGTAATAAAGCTAGTGTACACTATG